ATATATATATATATATATATATATATATATATATATATATATATATATATATATATATATATATATATATATATATATATATATATATATATATATATATATATATATATATATATATATATATATATATATATATATATATATATATATATATATATATATATATATATATATATATATATATATATATATATATATATATATATATATATATATATATATATATATATATATATATATATATATATATATATATATATATATATATATATATATATATATATATATATATATATATATATATATATATATATATATATATATATATATATATATATATATATATATATATATATATATATATATATATATATATATATATATATATATATATATATATATATATATATATATATATATATATATATATATATATATATATATATATATATATATATATATATATATATATATATATATATATATATTTTTTTTTTTTTTATTATTTTTTTTTTTTTTTGATCCACTTCAAATATTGACTCCGGTAATCTTCATTGTTTAAATAATTAAGCACAATTAATCTTTGTCAAGGCTAGTAATTTGGGTTTATTTTATTAACTATTCAGTTATAAATTTTATATTTTATTTTTCAATCCAATTTTCCACTTGAAGTAAAAAGTACAAAAAATCTATTACAATCAAAAAATCTATTACAATTTTTAAAATGTATTTCAGTTAATGTTTAGTTGCAGTTACTGTACTGTAATGAATACCTTTTTGGTATTTGATTTAAATGAATATTTCTGTTTATTTTTTTTATTAATTTAATTTTAGTTTTAGTCAAATCCCCTTACCGTAATATACATTTTACTCCCTTAAGGGTATTTTAACAAAGTGACACCAGGAAAAATGTTAGAATTCTTATCATGAATTCACACTAAAAATGTTATTTAACTTGTGTATTAATTTGTTTGTTGTTCTTAATTGTTTATTTATTATTGAAATGTTCTTCCCATGAAAATAGGCTTGGTTGCTGACATGGCAATAAATAAAAAAGACATTATATTAAAGTTTTTGTTTTTTTAGCAGGTGACGTAAAATTAAATTAAAGGTAGCTAGCTAAAATAAAATTAATGGTCAAAATTGAGGTTAAAGTAACATTTATTTATTTTTACATTTTAAGACAAATGTTTTTAATCCACTTCAAATGTAATGACTACTGTAAGCTTGATTGTTTAAATAAGTACAACTAATCTGTTAAAGCTACAAATATGTGTTTATTTTATTAACTAGTCAGTTCTACACGATTATTTTTACAAATCCAATTGATTTTTTACTTGAAGTGATGAAAAATTACAACTTTTATAGTTTATTCTAGTTGATGTTTATACATATCTTTATTTAATTTTAGTTGTAAATCCCTTTTGAAAACAATATATTTTATTTTAAAACATTTATAATATTTTAGAGCAGTAAACACGTCAGGCTGAATAATTTAAAGAATAATTGACTTCTGCGGTCTTTATTTGTTTCATAAACACTGATGTCTCTACAATTTAAAACAGCATCTTTGTATATTTTTTCCTGCTGGATATACTGTTGTCCTAAAAATAATGTGAATAAAAAACCTTACACATACTTTAGGAACGGTATTACAGAACATTTTGGCGGCTTTAAAACCTTGACTTTTCCAAATCAGATTTGCACATTTTGATATTGATGCTGAATCTATATATAGCACAGCTCTAGACACACAGTATGTGTTGGGGTTGCATAGTTATACATTTCCTTTGCCTTAGTCTTTATCTTAGAGGTCACCACAGTGGAATGAACCGCTAATTATTCCAGTATATGTTTCAATCAGCGGATGCCCTTCCAGCTGCAACCTATTATCAGGAAACTTCCACACACTCTCTCATTCGCAAACATAAGCTGCGTCCCAAATGGCACACTATACACTATGCACTCATGCACTATGCACTTATGCACTTACACACTCAACAGGATAGTATATGTATGTAGTGGCGTCCCAAATGGCACACTAATGTTTTTTTACTAAGCGGAAATTCAAACCGTTTCCCTGATGACGTTTGACGGTTGCCAAATCAGTGAAATAAACGACCGAATTATCAAATAATACCTGCCGTGAGTATAACCGCATTCACCATCGGGAGGCGCTATAATCACTCTCGTAAGAGAATTTTGCTTTCACCATCCAAAATAAATAAAGTTATCCAACATGTGCGTCCGATAGCTCCGCCCCTTCCGCTACGTAATGCCTAGTTCACACTAGAGGATTTTAGGCCTGATTTGAGCCCGATTTGGAAGTTAACGAGCTTGTCGACACATCGGGCTGTTATCGGGAAGAAATCTGCGGGTGCACAGCGCTCGCCGCTCTTTATATGTGAACTACTGAACAACGCAATAACGAGGCTCGACACCTCGCAGACAGAAATCCAACATTTAGCATGCTAAATATTCCAGAGCAGTCGGCCGACCCCACAGTCAACCCCCTTGTGTGGTCAGATGTAGTGACGAGCTGCAGCCAATGAGAGAGCAGATCAGCATGAGCTGAATGCCTGTGTGTTCAGGAGCTCAGCAGAAACATCTGTGATTGGTCAGAATGGGCATCGGTGCACTCGCTTCATTCTGCGTTAGCACAGACATGAGAGGAGGATATATTAACAGTGGAACTAGAATTCTGTAAATATTAGAATTACCATACTGCTCATTCTGACCGTTCTCATATAAAACGCCATACTGTCACAACATATTTACATTCAAAGCTATTATTGAGATATTAAAATTAAGCTTTGAATGTCTGGCATCATATTTAATGACACATTACCCTAAAAATATCATCTTTTTTTGGTAATACAGCCTATAAATATGTAGTTAAGATACTAAAACACTTAAAGGTCTTGGCTTTCATTTTCACTTTCAAACAGGAGCTATTTCACAGCACAGAATCTGCTGTTTTGAAAGATATCTGAAGTAAATTGATGTTTTTGCCATCAGAAAGTTTTGTTTATGTTAGCAGGAAGTTGCCAGGCAAGGAAATGCACACATATTTAAAGTCACAGCAAAAAGTATCAGACATGCATGCAGTCATTTTGACCAACATGGTAATTTAAGGCAGAAATGCTCAGTTCTTTACTGTTTTGTAATAAAAATAATAATAATGTCAGAAAGAAATACACTGATAGTTAGAAAATGGCAGGGTGTTATAAATATGTTAGTTTTATTTCAAAGAGTTATAAAATTACAAAAATTAAAAACTCTCTGTGTATCTATCCACTGGAACCTGCAGATGAGTGATTAATCCGCTCATAAATCAGCTGATTTGACGATGTTTTTAAATGCTTTCTCCAAAGCTTGAAAAGCTGTCAGTGATGTCATCAGCACACAAGCAGCCAATAGTGTTCAGCTTTTTCTGACGACTCCTCCCTCAAAATTTTCATTGGCTGTGGTTTGGTAGCTTGAATGAGCTGTTGGGGAATGAGTTGTTGTCAGATCATGTAGTGTGTGACCCCCCTCTTGTGGATCATTCACAGAGTGTTGCGTAGTGTGAACACCACAGAGATTAAGACCCCGTTTACACTAATGCGTTTTAGTTTGAAAACGCATAAGTTTTGCTACGGTTACGCCATCCGTCCACACTACGCCGGAGTTCTCGAGCGCCGAAAACGGAGCGTTTCGAAAATTCTGGAGAGGCCGTTTTCATTCTGAAACGCTGCTGCTCCGTCTCAGTGTGGATGGGGAAAGACGGAGACATCTGAAAACGGAGGCGGGGCTGCAGACATTCGCCTCTCTGATTGGGGTTCAGACTTCGCAAGTTTGATCAAGGCTGCATCTCTTCTTCTCAGTTTGATATGGAAAACATACTGAAGACACGCGTCAATCTTCACAGGGAACAGTGTACTTTATAACTTCATTCACATCACCCTGGCTACGTTGTTTCACTTTCTCAACAATAAAATGTAAACTTGATATAAGGAACTGCCTATTTTTATTTTAATATTAACAACTAAACAGACAGCAGACATGTTGAGGCGCCGTGCTGCATGAGCGTCATCTTATTTATAAGATATTTATAACAAAACGGAGCCGATAACAACTGCCTCCTTTCAATTTCAGTGAAAATACGAAACACACCCTCTCTATTGCTGAATATCAGTTTTAATAATCGATAATGGCCATTATAAAAGTATAACATACAATAAGTTTATACATTATAGGAAATAAAGGCAAGCGATCAGTCAATATACAGAATAGGCTACGTGGTTACATTAATCATTAACTTATCTTTGCGCTCAGCCAAAACACGTTACCTGAGAACAATTCATAGATTCCAATGACCAAAGTCAGGGAATATATTGTTAGATAAAGACAACAAGATGAATTAAATATCCCGTTTAATAAATATAGTGAGATTAGATCCAGCGGGAGATGCTTGATGAGAAGTCCGACTAGCAGAGCTCTCATCTGGGTAGATGGGCTCCAGCGATTGCCTAAGTGTGTGTGTGTGGTCACGTGATGTGCGTTTTCAGCGTTTTGGTGTGGACGGAGAGCAGTTCAGAAACGCTGGGTAAAACGCGAGTGTGGACGCGGATCGTTTTCATTCTAAAACGCCGTTTTAAAACTAAAACGCACTAGTGTAAACGGGGCCTAAAAGACACAAAGTCAAGTCATGTAGTGTGAACGGCACAGCGATCTGCTGATGTTTAAAATCCTGTAGTGTGAACTAGGCTTAAGCAAACCTGCGGTCGTTGAGTGCGTGAAGTGTCCATCATTACACACTTCATTTTAGCGGCTGAATGAGTGCATCATCCGGGTAATTAAAGTGCACTTAATGTTTTTAGAGTTTTCAGTGTGAACACACTACTTACACTATTTATACTACAAAATGGTGTAGAATAGTGCATAAGTATGCGATTTGGGACGCAGCTCCACACTACAGCCAAATTAGCCTACCCAATTCCCCTATAGCGCATTTGTTTTGACTGTGGGGGAAACCGGAGCACCCGGAGGAAACCCACATGAACACGGGGAGAACATGCAAACTCCACACAGAAATGCCAACTGACCCAGCTAAGACTCGAACCAGTGACCTTGCTGTGAGGCAACAGTGCTAACCACTGAGCCACCGTTCTGCCCGGGGTTGCAAATTAAAACGCTAAATGACGACATGTGAGACAATCTTATACCTATAATACTTGTATTCTTTCAGGCACAGTTTAATCCTCAAGGATGGCTTCTCGTAAGAAGGTGCTGCTGAAGGTGATCATTCTGGGGGATTCTGGGTAAGTGATGGCTTTCTCACCCTGTAATAGATTAGATTGGATTAGATTCAACTTTATTGTCATTAAACAAGTACAAGTAGGTAACGAAATGCAGTTCGGGTCTAACAAGAAGTGCAATAGCTGCAAGTGCAGGATACAGGTATTAATACCGTGCAATTCTAGAAAAACTATGGTGATGCTTACAGATGGATGTACTATGAACATTATATACAGGCTGTATTAGCTTACAATAAGTGAATATATGTAAAGGTCGCTATTAATAATCAGAGATATGCAGATAGACATTAACATAATTGCATATGTATATGTGCAGTGGGTATGTGCAATTCAAGATCAATTAGTGCAATGTAGTTCAATGAATAAGTGTATTGTAATTGTTTAAGTATTAATACTGCAGTGATTATGGGGAGTGTAAGTTATGAGGAGAGTGTGGGGGGCAGAGTTCAAAAGGGATACAGCTCTGGGGAAAAAGCTGTCTCCCTTTCAGTCTGCTGGTTTTTGTCCGGGGGAAGCTGAAGCTGAAGCGCCTGCCGGTAGATAGGATAGAGAACAGTCTGTGAGCAGGGTGAGAGGATTTCTTAAGAATACAGCACAGACGGTGTTTCTTTTGGATGTCCTCAATGGCTGTAAGTGGAGTCCTTGTGATGCGTCGGGCAGTTTTCACCCCTGCTGCAGTGCCTTACGCTCATCAACAGAGCCGCTCCTGTACCAGAATGACAGACAGACTTTGAGATTATAATACTTGACAGATGTTGAGCTTATGCTATAAATGCTGTTGTGTTTGTGTGGTGCAGTGTTGGGAAAACCTCTCTGATGAACCAGTATGTCAACAAGAAGTTCAGCAATCAGTATAAAGCCACCATCGGCGCAGACTTTCTTACCAAGGAGGTGATGGTGGACGACAGACTGGTGACGATGCAGGTATGAGCCTATTACAAACCTGTCTGTCTGTTATTTTATCTGTCTGTCTATCATTCTTTATGTCTGTCTGTGTGTCTATCATTTTATCTATCTGTCTGTCTATCTATCTATCTATCTATCTATCTATCTATCTATCTATCTATCTATCTATCTATCTGTCTGTCTGTCTGTCTGTCTGTCTGTCTGTCTGTCTATCATTTTATCTGTCTGTCTGTCTATCTATTAATCTATCTGTCTGTCTGTCTGTCTATCTATCTGTCTGTCTGTCTGTCTATCATTCTTTCTGTCTGTCTATCATTTTATCTATCATTCTTTCTATCTATCCATCTGTCTATCATTCTTTCTGTCTGTCTATCATTTTATCTATCTATCTATCTATCTATCTATCTATCTATCTATCTATCTATCTATCTATCTATCTATCTATCTATCTATCTATCTATCTGTCTATCCGTCTTTATGTCTGTCTGTCTGTCTGTCTGTCTGTCTGTCTGTCTGTCTGTCTATCTATCTGTCTGTCTGTC